GAACTAGGTCATATGTCCTCGCTAATGGAATAAGAAGAAAATATTTGTCACTTTCAGATGATCTCAGAGTTGAAAAGGCAGCTGTGAACCAAGACCATAGTGTCCACCATCAGGTGAACATAATTAGTTAAAATCAGGGACCCCTGGATGGCTCAGTGGTTGAGTGTCTGCCTTCAGCTCAGGTCCTGGTCTCAGGACCTGGGATCGAGTCCCGCATCCGGCTTCCCACAAGGAGCCTGCTTCCCCTCTGCCCATGTCTCTGCCTCTCTCTGTATCTCTCACGAATAAATAAAATCTTTTTAAAAATAATAATAATTAGTTATAATCATTGTAAAGTTCTGCAAAACATTTGTATGCTAGTTCTTAAAAGGTTTTTTTTTTTTTTAATTACACCCAGACAAAACTCAGGATATACCAACAAGAAAGGGGCTTACGGGGGTGGACGGGAAAGGGTGGAAGTCATGACAAGCACTAAAACTTAGGAGTAAAAGAGTCCCTTGCCTTTGTTGATAGGGAGCCCTAGCTACACCAGAAGGGGAATCCTCACCCTTGGGAATTATTAAGGGATAGGGCAGTTATCTAGATCCTATACCTGTTCTAGATCCTGTACTCTTCCTGTTCATTCAGGGTTTCCCTAACTCCCCACCCACTCTTCCTTCAGGCAGCACCAAAACACCACCGCCACTTAAGAACTTGAGCCACTGAGCTTATGCTGTCAGTTTTTCACAAGTACCACAAGCAAGTGAGCTTCCTAGGGAGGGGAAGAGATAGGGGGGTTAAGAAGAGGAAGCACTGCCTTCAGTAGAGATGGCCCATCAAGTAAGCAGTTTTGAAGGACACAAGCAGAAGCCTTCTAGAAAGTGGACTTGTTTCCCAGCTGACTCCTGTTAAACAGGGTAATTTTCTGTAGAAAACATCACCTTTACCCTCTCCCGTGCCCTGCCTGAAGCCCTTAAAAAAACCTCCATTTATCCATCCAGGAGCCTGACGTGAGGTTCATTCCGCTCTTTCCACTGCACGAACACCCAGTGAGAAGGTCCCAAAGGCAGCCCAGGAGCTCAACCACGTTCCTGTCTAGCATGATCAGCAACTACTTGAGTTCTTCATCTTCCCTGAGAACCACTGCCTCCTGTTTCTGTTTCTAGAGGTTTCTTACCATGTGTGGAACAACTCTCCCTCTTTTCTACAAGATGGAACAGGACAGAAAGAAACAAAAGCTCAAAAGGTGCTCAAAAAAGCATCTCAGCTCATCTCTGCCATGCCTTTACATCCTGACCTCCCACATGCTTTCTCCTCCCTCCTTACCTGCTATTAGCTTTACCAATTCCCACATGGTCTGCTTCCCATGTGACTACTTCAGGTTGTTGAGAATGGCAGTCTCTGGTGGAGATATAGGAGATATATGTACCATCCCATGCTGTGGATGGTAAGGAACTTTCTCTTGGGAACATTTCTCTCCACCTCCAGAAACCTGCTTCCCTGGTGATTTCATCATTCCCCCATATCTGCTGCACCTACTCCAGAAGCTTCCCCAGGTCCTCCTCCTTCCTTTGTGGCTGTACACTGTGCCATCCACTGATTAGCAACTGCTAGAGGAGGTCATCCAGAGGATGTGAACCCTGGTTGACCTACAAACTGAACCTGGTCAATAGGAGGCTCCGAAGCCCCTCCCCTGGACTTGAAATGCACTTTTTGCCCACCCTTCCAACAGTAGGAACTGTTTTGAGGACGCAGTCTTGAGAGAGCTACGTGTTGTTGAGACCACCTGAAGAGTAGGGGCCACTGAGCACTGTTAGAACCTCTACAGAAACTTAAGATTTCTAAGGAGCCACAGGAAAACTCCTCCTCTTGCTGCCAACGCCTCTGGCAATCCACGTTTGTAAATTTCCTTGCTAATTACCAACCTCAGTGCTTGCCCTCTTTCTCCCATCTCCCCTTGCCCTCCCTTAAAGGGGACCAGTTTGTGAACCAGCAGCAACTGTTGCAGTTGCTTCACCTGGTAGGGCAGAGGGGACCAAGGAGCAGGAGAGGCACACACAGAACTCCCAGAGCCACCGGCCAGGAGAAATAAGCTAGACCCTACACAAGTGGAGAAAAAGAATACAAGTGTGGGGGACACTGACAGGAGAAACATCCCATCCCCCCTCCCTGCCTGCTGAAGCCAAACCTCACCCAGGTCACAACAGCCCCTTGTCCCTTCCATTCCTCAAACTCCTGTTATGAGGCCTCTGCCCCAGTAAATCTACTTAGGTGTCCATACCTTGGCCTGGAACAGGGTAGGAGAAGCAGGCCATTCTTATGAGAGAGTGGGTCTCAGACATCAGTGAACATCAGCACCACCTGGAGGACTTGCTGGGCCTGATGGCAGAAACTACCGCCAGAGTTTCTGATAAAATAGGTCTGGGTAGGGGTCCAGAATTTGCATTTCTAACAGACTTTCAGGTGAGGCTGTTGTGCTGATGCAGAGAACACACTGAGAACCGCTGCTCTAAGCTACCTGGCTTCTTTCACCTTCCTGTCTTCTTCCTTCCAGATTCTAAGCACTCTTCTCTGAACCCACCCTGTCTTATTCTAAAGCTTAAGCAAGTTGTTCACCACCCTTGAAGGCTGTTTTGTAGAGCAGTTAAGAATGACCAAGGTCTTGGTCGCCTGGGTGGCTCAGTCTGTTAAGCATCTGCCTTCGGCTCAGGTCATGATTTCAGGGTCCTGGGATTGAGCCCTGCATTGGGCTCTCTGCTCAGCGGGGAGTCTGTTTCTCCCTCTCCCTCTGTGATTCTCTCTCTCTCTCTCTGAAATAAATAGAATCTTAGAAAGAAAGAAAAGAATGAACAAGATCTGAAGATAGCTGCATTTGAGTCTTGTTTCTGCTATTTATAAACCAAGACCTCAGCCAGTTCTGAGCTTCTCCATGCCAAGGGCTTTACCTAGTGGCCTGTAGACAGTGTGTTCCTCATCATTGTTATTGGCATTATTGTCAGAAAAATCTTTTCAGATAAGACCTTCCCTCAATCTTCTCTTCATTATGCACCCTCATTTAATCTCTCCAATGGTCCTGTTGGAGTCAGGCAACTGTATGGTTTTTCAAGACCCCCAGTGATTCCAATGCATAAGTTTTCAAAACCATGAGGTAGACTGTAATCATTTCCTACCTCCACCAAGTGAAGAGAATCCCTGCCATCTGCCTCCCCTTGAGCAGCCACCACAACATGGAACATCAGTGACTAGAAGCCAGGAGGATCAACTACATTCCTTCTTTCCTCTCTTAGGCAGAGGACTCCTTGTCCAAATTTCTGAAATGCTTCTGCTCTGAGATCCTGGGGTCTCAAAGTGGGGTCAGCACCCCCCCCCCAAGTAACACCATCCCAATCAAGTACAGAAAGTCCAAGGAGAAGGGAAATTTTTATTCCTTTGCTGAGTCATGGCCACTTATGCCCATGAGTTATGGGAATGGAGAAGTGTCCAAGCTCCCTAGTTACAAAGAACACTACCCTCTCAACTCCAATGTACCCCCTTCACCTCAGAGGAGCAGAACTCTCCATTTCTCTGGATTCAGGGAAAAGCATCTGATTGGGGTAAGCTGGACCTCGCTGAGCACCGGCAATGGTTGAGCAGGAAAGTGTAGGTGTCTGGTAGTGGAAAAGAAAAGAAACATCAAGGAGACACAGGGGCAGGCATCGTTTAGAGGTTAGGTTATCACTGAGGTAAAGGAATCCTACCCACAGAGCAGAAAATCCATGTAAGCCAGGGCAAAGTGTCAGGGTGATGGAAACTAATGGGAAAGCCCCCAGCTACTACTGGGATCAAAGACTCTTACTTATGGGGTTCCATGACGCTTTCTGAAATGAGGCAAGTGTTGGATGAAGCTGGATTTCCTCCAACTGTCTGCAAACCAACATAATTCCGAAATGGGGCTGGAGCCTACCCAAGTGCTGCTTTCTGAACTTCAAGAAGTTTCCCTCCTCTTGTCTCCTAATGGGATCAAATAGATCTTTTCTTTGGACAAATAAGGAAAAAGAATCAGTCACACGATAAGTGGCAAAGCCAGAAACGAATTCCAATGTTTTAATTTCAAATTAATCTTTCCCACTATGCCATATTTCCTTAGTCTCTAATTCATCTTCCACCATCTCTAATATTCTCATTTCCCAGCCAGTCAGCCAAGCCAAAGAATGAATCCTTACTCAGTATAGCCAGTCTCAAAAAGCCCCATTTCCCAAAACAACTTTGAGTCCCATTTTCTTTCTCATTGGACAGCCTTGAGTTCTTCAAAGAGAAAAAAAGAGAAGAAAAGAAACTGAAGGAGTTATATAAGAGGAAAATAGCAGGAGTCGCTGGTTAGTGTCATTCTACCTTACGAATTTCGAAGATTTTTCAGCGTAGGGCCTCCTAGGGCCAGCCTGGTTACTCACTAGTTCTCAATTTTGGCTCCACATTAGAAATGCTTGGGGAGGTTTTAAGATTCCCCTGTACCCAGACCAATTAAATCAGAATCTCTGAGCAGGAAACCCAGACAGCAGGATTGTTAAGGTTTCCCAGGTGATTCCAATGTGTAGAATCACTGCTCTAACAAGCCATATGTTAGCTCCTCTTCCAGATTATAAGGCTGCTCAGCTCGGGTATAAGCTTCCTCGGTGAAAAACAGCTGTGGATGAGAAAGGGCAGTTCTTTGGCAGCAGTGTAAACAGCTAAGCTATTCTACTACTATTCTAGTAGAGAATAAAGTCACACTAACATTTTAAAATAAAGCCCCTAATTTTATTGGATTGAACTTTGCTTCTCTTCGAGATTTTTTTTCTCTTTCTGTTTCATAAAATTATAGAGCTAAAGCAATGATGCTAATGGGATCAATGCTGTTCATTATTAAGGGTGGATGTCAAACTATTTCTTAACAGTCTTCAGTAAATCTGTGGAGTTAAAATAAACTAAACTATGTTTGCTCTCTCCATCTGTCTGCTAAGTTAACTGCCTGACCCATTGGTTCTTCTTTTCTACTCCCCCAGACTAGCTCTTCCTCTTATCAAAGCCTACCTAAGAAATCATCTGCATGGAAGAAATCTGAGAAGACTTTCTAAGAAAAGCATTTACCTAGTGTTTACATATTATCACCTCAAAATACATACAGCTTGTATGTTAATTGGCCAGGACCTGGATAGTAGAAAAGAATTGGGAAAACCACTCAAGAAAGGAGAAAACACAGAGGTAGGATACATTAACATATGTTCTACAAGGCCACGATATTACTCTAGAATCACTTAAATATATTGCTGAGCATTTCTCTTGGATTCCAGGTAAGCAAATGTGACTGTAATTCATCTGTGTCTTTATAAATGAGTTAGAGGCACCACAATGTAATAAAGAGCAGGAATTGACATTAGATTCAAATCTGATCCGACACTGGTTGTTAGCCCTATCTACGTCTATGGGAGGAGCTTCTCAAGATCCCTTAGCCTCAGCCTACTCACCTGTAAAATATCTCCCTCACAGTGTTGTTTTAAAGAATAGTGTTCATGTATGTAAATACCCACTACAGTGAATGGAAATAATAGGAATTCAATAAGTAATAGTGGCAAGAAGAGAATAATCATGGCAATCATATTTGTAGTTGCTATTGTTAGTTATTGTTATTGGCACATACCAACAGAGAATTTGTTAGCCTATATTCCATATCAAAAGCTCTCACTCTAGGGGTGCCTGGGTGGCTCAGTTGGTTAAGTGTCCAACTCTTGATTTCGGCTCAGCTCATGATCTTGGGGCTATAGGATCAGTCAGGCTCCATACTCAACACAGAGTCTGCTTGAGATTCTTTCCCCCTTTCCTTTCTCTTCTGCCCCTCCCCTGCTTTCTCCTTCTTTATCTTTCCCTCTCAAATAAATGAAATCTAAGAAAAAGCCCTCACTTTATTCTGTTTTTAAGTATTTATTAAGTAAAACTTAATAAACTTGACATGAGAAAAATTCATAGACATGCAACTGAAGCTTACAGGTTTTTTTTTTAATTCCTTTAATCAAGTCCTTTAAATTTCTAGTTCTTAGGTACTGAAATGACATTAGCCAGTCCTTAAATCAATGAGACCAGTTTAACTAAACGGTCTATGGTTTTAAAAGCAATAAGAAAAGAAGAGATAAGTCTATACATAATACAGTATACATAAATGGAGAAATGAGTATAAAATGAAAGATTTTGAAATCAAAAGAGACTCCTTGCCAAATATATGAAGAAATAACTCATTCCTTAGCAGAGTGTTTAGTAAGGAAAATAATGACCAAACACAATCTTGGCAAGAAAAACCTGCTAGTTGTGAGTGTATTGGGCAAATTACCAAGCAATGCATAAATTATTTTCTGGATCAAAGGAAACTATTAAATACCTGTGTGGCCTTAGGAATGTTTCTTAATCTTTCTGAGCATCAGTTTCCTCACCAGTAAAATTGTGATGATAACAGTAAGTTGTTTTGTGTGTGGAATTAATGAGCTGATGGTTCACGTAAAGCACTTCATATAGTGCCTATCGCTGTGTTGTCTATCACTTTTATCTCTGAAGCTAGGATTAAAGTGATTTAGTAGAAGAATTTGAGGACCTATCAGAAAATAATGATTTGGCTAATTTCCAATACCTGATCCCCCCACAAGATTAGAGTGAAGTTTTAAGTATCCTCACTTATTCTTAGTTTGTCAAGTAGTAATTACTAAACATAGGAAAATACTTAACAGGAATTCTTGGTTTTCATCAAGCAAGCTAGTTAAGGGATGACACCTCTTACCACTTCTTTTTCCCACAAAATTTTTGATCAGAAAGCTGTGTTAAAGAATTTTTAATTCCTAACAGTGGGAGATTCTAATTGGTTATTCTAATTGGTGATTCTAATTGGTTATATGACAATCTAGCTTTGTCATATCTCTGAACATTTGGGAAATGTGTAGGAAGTAAAGGGGAATAAACACACGCAAAACATGCTACAGTGAAGTCTGCCTGTATGGGGCACTCATCCTAGGCAATGACACCGCAGTCTTTGCAAAGAGTATGGCAAGCCTCTCTTTCTTATACATTTATTTTTTTTTTCTTTCTTATACATTTATTCATCAAATATTTCTTAAGCACTTAGGAACAACTGTTACAAGCAATACCAAAATTTCATTGGTTTTACACTACATGATTTAGTTCTCATACACAAGTCTGATCAGGTATTCCTAGTCCACAGCTTTCACTCAAGGGGTGTCAAAATCCCCTACATTTCCATTAGTGTCTGTGCCTTGTCCTAGAATCTCTTCAGAATCTACTGGGTGCTCTACCCTCAGCCAGACAACAGGCAAAAAATAAAGAGACTGTGGAAAGTGGAATGCCTGATGCTTAACAACCTCAGCACAGAATAGAAACCTATCACTTCTGGCCAAAGTGTGCTGGCAAGAACTGGTTACATGGTCCCACTTAGGGGCTGGGGAAGCTGGGGAAAGTAGCTAGGTAGCCATTTCCCAGAAACAATTCCATGCTGTGGAAGGGGAGTGTGAGTCTGTGCTGCTCAGTGAGCTATCACTGCCATAAGCACCCAGGTGCTGAGGATAGACCAATTTAAAAAGATAAAAATCCCTTTCGTCATGGAACTTAGAGTCTAGTTCATTCTTACTCCAATAAGAGGCTCCCTCCTAAAAGCTCAGTGCACTGAATTTCATTTTATCAATTTTACCCTCATCTCTGTCTACACTGTAGAACTACAGGTCCCAGAATTCCTTTCTAGTATCACTCAGGGTTAGATTCTACCAATGAGGCATTCACAAAGATTTCAAAAAGAAGCCATTTTTCTCTGCAGCAGCTGTTTGCAGACTGATGAGATCATTGTTGGCAGCACTCCTTAGCTTTCAGCTCTTCTCCCAGGAATCACTTGCTATCAGCAAGCAGCTGAGATCATCAGCAGAAGCTTCCAGTGGATCCAGCCATCCTCCTGAGAATAACTCATTTCAGTAGTCCATGCAACTAGGATCACTGATAGTGCCTCTCCTGCAATCCTTTCAAATTTACTGAAAAATAAGCTTCCAGACCTCTCCCACAGCAATTCCGATGCTTTGAATTAATTTTCTTCCTACCCAAAATACTAGAATAATTTCTGTTTTCTGGCAAAATCTAAACACATTCAGAATTAAAATGTTCAGTACACTTACTTGGTAATTCAAAGAAATATTTTTCAATGCCTGTTATATGCTAGGTCCTATGCTAGATACTAGAGAATACAATTTAACAAGCTAATAGATTAACCTATGCCTTCATTGTGCTTATTTGTAATATATTCAGTTAAAAACTCATAACAAATCAGTAAATATATATGTTTACATATGTATGTATATATACATATTCTAGCAAGTGCTTTAAAGAGATTCTATAAGAGAGTACATGAGAACTTTTTTCAAGTAAGGTACAATAAGAGTTGGGATGGGTAAACTCCCACCATTGCCATCAATGGAAAAGAAAAAAGAAAATCAAGAGTAAACAAGTAACTCAATGCTGCTTTACTCATCAAGAGCAATTTGGCAAAATCCTTGAAAGTGTGTGACTAATTAAACATCTTTAATATCTCTGAATTATAGTGATATGATGACATATCACAACAGGTGTCACAATTTGTCAGAGCCACAAAAGATATCTTCCAGAACCCTATTTTGTTTTTATGTATAGGATAAAATATTGCATATTGGCTGTATTGCTAAGGATTTGGGTCACTTGTAAAATGAAAAACAATTGGCTACAAATGCAGTTTAAAAATGCAAATGTAATTTTAGAATAAAATTCATTAGAGAAGCAAGATCAAGTAAAGCAAGGTAGATAATTTTCCTGGGTAATTCTGATTAAGAAAATATGGTGTTTGTGCTCTCCCCACATATTAATTTGTCAGTCAATAGTTAAATGGTTTGGTGATCCCCGGGGGTGGCTCAGCGGTTTAGTGCCTGCCTTCCACCCAGGATGTGATCCTGGAGACCTGGGATCGAGTCCCATGTCGGGCTCCCTGCATGGAGCCTGCTTCTCCCTCTGCCTGTGTCTCTGCCTCTGTATGTGTGTGTGTGTGTGTGTGTGTGTCATGAATAAATAAATAAAATATTTTTTTAAAAAAGTTAAAAGGCTTATTTTATATTCTATATACAAGTCTAGGTTAGAGAAAGACCATCAATATTCACTATTGGGATGTGTAATATTGTATGAAAATTATAAGGTATAACTATCATATGCCCCTTTTTCTTTCAGGGTAGTACTAATGTGAACATAGCTAACAATAATTAATATTCTATTAGTAGCTTGGAAATAGAAAAAAAAATCATGGGTAGGAAACCATCAGGCTCCATCCTAACCACAGCTAAGACACACAAAATGTTTATAAGAATCTGCATGGCTTTTTATTCTATTCACTTTTCAGAAATAGGACTCTTAATTTACCTATTCTCATCCTCTGATCATAATCAAGGAAATCTCTTGTAAGGTCTATGCAGTACTTCAAGGCTTGACATCTAGCCAGTCTACTTGCTTACCCTATAGTATTAATGCTCAGATTCAGAGACCAGCCTTGTGCTTTATAAACAAACCTCCACTATACATTTAGTCACTCAACAAATATTGATTGAATACATAGTGTGTGTTGGGCCCTGGAGATATAACCAAAAATGACATATAAGATCCCTATCCTGATTGAATTTGGAGGTGAGTGATAAAGTTACAAAGAGGAGCTAGAATGTACTTGGAAGGAAGTACAGAGTAACTAATTCAAACTTGACAGTTTTGAGAGCATTTCCTAGAAGAAAGGCTTTTTAACCAAGACCTAAATGATGCTTTAGAAAGTTATTCTGGGCAGCCTGGGTGGCTGAGTTGACTAAGCATCTGCCTCCAGCCCAGGTCATGATCCTAGGGTCCTGGGATTGAGCCCACGTCGGGGTTCTAGGCTCAGCAGTGAGTCTATTTTTCCCTCTCCCTCTGTCCCCCTGCGTGCTTGTGTACTCACATTCTCTTTCTCTCTGTCTGCCTGCCTTTCTCTCTCTCTCTCTCTCTCAAATAAATAAACAATCTTTTAAAAAAGAAAAAAGTTATTCTGGCACAGAGAGAGGTAAAATTATCGGCAAAAGGAACAACGTTGAGAAACCTGGAAGTGAGAGAGAACATAGTAGATATGTTTATATATACACAGATACTCCATTGGAGTAATTGGAAAGAGTTCAATGTAGCTGGATTTTAAATTATAGTGTTGAGCAATTAAGAAGGAATTAAGAGAATTAAGAAGGAATAGATTTTATAGGAACTGGTAGGCCACATTAGAGACTTTGAACTTTAAGAAGCAATTTGGAGCTTTTGAAAGATATAAAGTAAGGGAACAGTAGGGTCAATTTTGCATTTTGGAAATTACATTCTGGCTGCCATGTGGAGAATGGAAAGGAAGAGAAGAAAATGGAAGGAGAAGAGGAGCTATATAAAAGATTATTGCCATAATTCAAGTATGAAAGTATGGTAGTTTAACCTATAGCAGTGAGTTCGTCTTTGACTACCATTGTGTTTCATGTAGAATTGGTTTCCTGACTTACTCCTCACAGTCCTTTCTAGATGTTAAAGTTCTACTCAAGTTAGTTTAAATGGCTGAACTTCTACATGATACCAAATGTGCTTGAAAATAACTGATTGCCAGTCTGTCCCTCTACTGATTGCCTTAACCATGTGTTCCCCGCCTATGGTATGCTATACTCCCCTACTGAGAAATGTATTCCTTGCCTACTGCCAGTCTTTCCCTAAGTAACTGCTTCCTATTATTAACTACTTCCTATTTTTTGATGCTGACACTTTTCAATTTGCTGTCATTCCCCTGTAAAGCTAGGCTCTTTACC